GGTTTCAGTTGGGAAACATTCAATGGCAACACCAGTTGCAATATCATCGGCCTCTGAGGAAAAAAACCTTGAAGGAACAGGAAGACCTCGGAACCCCAAGGTCCGACAAGGTCCGACTATCAGCTTAGGTGAAAATAAGAAGTTACACCTGTCCACATTACAGAACGAAACCTGTCACGAATTGAGGAAGAACTTCAAACCTGGAAGAAGTTCTTATTGGTTCATCATTCGTTGCAAGAAGAAGTGGATGGGAGAATCATTTAGTGTTGTAATTTATATTATGAATCCTCGTTTAATAGTGTATTTGTCACATGTTCAACTGAAAAAATTGGATTTTTATTTAGTTCTGTTTCTTTGATCGTTCTTTGCCAAGAAAAAAGTTTAACTTAGTGCTCAAGGAGGTCTGAAAGAAAATTTGTAATTCTCAACTCTTTGATACTAAACAACGGGCGAAACGCAGTTTGCCTCGAATGATAGTCAAATTTGCGTTTTTGAATGCGTCACACTATCGCGATTCAGTGACGTTTTCGGGAACAATTTGTCTCTAACTGCACGATTTTAAACTTTTTTTATCACGACTATTTTAAATTGAAGCCCGTAACTTTTCATACCCTTATAGGTTGTTTCACGGATCGCATTCAGTAAGTACAATCACATTTAAGGGCTTGTCGCCTCTCGATTCAACAGAAAACGAGGTCCTTCACGTCAAACATACGAAAGACAACATCCACGCCCATGACGGAGTAAATATGAGCTCGAGCAATATCGAGCGTAACGAGTTTGCACATGCTCTGGCAGCCTCAGGTATCCACGCAATGACTTTGCCGCATCAGGTATCCAGCCATTTAGCACATTTATTACGTACGAAATTCTGTAAAACAAATCGAATTAGAGTGTGATGTCATAGAACACTAAGTTTTCCACTAAATTATAGGTCTAGTGAATAGTTACGCTCCATTCCAACCGGTTTAATACTCGAAAATTAAAATCAGCAATTTTCGTATCTTTCCTCCTATTTTAAAGCTCAAATGAACTGCTGGCAAGCGAACCAGCGAGTGACCACCGCGTCGCGTCCGCGTGGCGAAGCCTGTGCAGCGAGACAGCTTGCAGCACTAGTGAGTAGGCGGGGTGTCACGGGGGAGGAACAGAAGGGACGGGCTGGGTGCAGCGAAGCTAGGAGGACTGGACCCAAGTGGGATGGGGAGTTACGGAGCGGATCGGGATTGTCGAAGAGAGATGAGCGGGGCGAGATTGGGCTGGGAAGAGCGAGATGTACTGGTCGAC